CTTTAATAATCATGAGGTTCGGCCGTTTCCTGTTCAGGACAAGAGCCACATCATCAGAGGGCACTGATCAGTCACCAGTATCAAATGATTCGAAAAATTCTGTGTCATCAAAACAAATAGAAAATGATGTCTTTTATGCTGAGGAGGTAGTTCAAAAAATTTTGAAAACGGATCTCACAGATATTCGTTTAAAAGGCCATTGGTTGTACGTTATTGATTCTGGTGGTCAACCAGCATACCAAGAGTTACTGCCATTGTTTACTAGAGCGGCTTCTCTTAATATCATCACTCTTGACCTCTCTAAACCTCTTGATGAGGAGTTTGACACGAAGTACAGGGCCAATGAAAAATATTTTTGGTGTCGCTCTAAGTCAACTCAGTTAGCATCCTTCAAATCTGCTGTTTCTACAGCAGCTAATTTCAAATCACTTGATATTTCTTGCATCACTGAACCACATCATCATTCCATGCATCTTATTCTGGGAACACATTATGATAAAGTGAATGAAGCTGATCTAAAGAAATGTGAAGATGCTTTAAAATCTTCAATATCTTCTTTACAACCTTACTTAAATGACCGTATCATCAAGAGGTCAGAAAATTCGATTATATTTCCTGTCAACACAGTTGCTAAATCAAAAGAAGAGAGGGCTAAATACAGGAAAGAAGTTTGCAAAGCAATATGGAAGAGTGGCTCTGATGCTTCTATTACAATCAAAATACCAATTCACTGGTTTGCTTTTGAGCTCTCTTTGCCTAAAAAGAAAAGTATCATATCTATTAAGGAAGCGGAATCTATTGGAAAAAAGTTTGGCATGAAGGAGGAAGATACAAAGGAAGCATTGAAGTATTTTCATGACGTCAGCCTGATGTTATATTATCCAGAGGTTATCAATGTAGTGTTTCTGAATCCTAAGCCTATTCTTGACATTATGTCACAGTTATTGGCTCTTACATTCGTGGATGATGAAAATACATGTAAAAATAAAAAGGCGCTCAACAATTTGGCACTGCTAAAATCTATTTTAGTAGAGCAAAAGCAAGTTTCAATAGCTAAGAGAAATAATCTTAAAGATGGCTTCTTTAATGAAGAAATTTTTACTAATTTAAAATCGGGTAAAAAAATTAGCCAATCTGAGTTTAACCTCCCTGAAGACCTAATTTCTCTTTTGCTGCATCTCAACATCATCACAAAAGTGGAAGGTAACAAAAAGGGTCGCTATTTTATTCCTTATGCCCTTCCTTCATATCAAGGATTGAAAACTCCTACAATAAAAAAGCCAAATGCTCGATTGCTTCTTGTAGTTTGGATAGATGAGAAGAAGTGTCTACCAGTTCCTCAAGGTCTCTTTCCTTTGGTAGTAATTCACCTCCTCAATCAGAAGGAATTGAAAATTGATCTTCCTTCATCTAGACGAGATTTTTACTTCAAATTTCGAGATGCTATGTCGATCCGAATTACTTTAGGGGAGATACCTCACACACTTCACCTCATCAATCGTTACACTCATATTGAGATTGCTTTCACTGGCCCACAAGAGCATTGCTCAAAAATTTATGAAGTAGTCATGAAAGCTTTTGGCAAGGTTACAGATGACCTACATATTGAGCACAATCATGCCAATGCATTTGTTTGTCCAAATGATCCAAAGAACTGTTTCAGTCTTGTTGTAAATAAAGAAAGATTTATAGTGAACTGTACAGATTGTCCTGAGACAGCTCCTATTACAGGGGAAGACTACTGGTGCTGGTTTAAGCATTCCACAAATGCTCCAGTTGATACAAGTAAGAACCTAAGTATTTCATTATTTCTGCCTGTCAGTGCCTGATTAAAGCTGGAAATATTAAATTACATGTACATACATGTACATTTAAAATATACATTTAAATGTATATTTGAGAGAGTCATATTTTTATTATAGGCAAGTCGCCTACACTGGGAATAACTGGATACGGACTGGTAATCCTCCTTGTTTTGGCTGGATGGTTAGTTTTCTACTTTTGTTCTAGTAAGTATAGACAATTTTGGCAAACATTACTGTTTTTAATTTATACAGTTCAAGGAGTAGCAATTTATGGACTGGTACTACTGTTTGCTTTTATTGGATATTTTGTTTTCATCTGGAAATCTAGTAAGTATAAACAACTTCACAAAGCATTAATGTTTTTAATTTATACAGCTCGAGGAGTAGCAATTTATGGACTGATAATACTAGCTATTTTTGTTGTTGGATATTTAGTTTTTATCTGGAAATCTAGTAAGCACATGTAGAAAAAGTTGCAGCAAGAATTACTGCTAATCTGCATTGTAATTTGTTTATAGTTCAAGGGCTAGTAATTTATGGACTGGTACTACTTGTATTACCATTACTTGTTTTAGCAGAATTTTTTTCCATCTGGGGCTCTAGTAAGCAACTATAATAAAACATAGCAAGTATTACTGTTACTTTAGTTGCAAGAATAACTGTAAGTGTAGTTGTCATTGGGATTGCTACTACATGGATAATGACCTGGATTAATGGAGGTGATGTTACTAAACTGGAATCTCTTGTAAATCTGGGGACCACTATTCTCAACCTATTATAACTCTAGTTTTTGAAAATTAATCTGACTTAATAGGCTCTATTTTAAAATAACTATTTTTTTGTATTACCAAATGGAGATTGCAATTTGAATTTATGAATTTTAATAACTACATGTACTCTTGACATTATGTCATCATTATGTCACTGTTTGTGGCTGCTGTATCATCATGTGGATGCATGCCACCTATAAGTATCATGCATAAAAATTATAGTCACATAACATGCTGATTACTTACTGACAGTTAAGAGAGAGTGAGAAGAGAGCTATCCTTTTCATGTGCTTACTGTCTGTACTCTCCATATATTCTATATTCTAATCATAAAATACCTTTGAATAAATACAATTATATTATTATGCCATACATGTACCTTGTTGTATTAGACGATTAGATACCCATCCACCAAGAGTAGCTGAAATACCTTTGGCAATCCATCGATACATATTGCCTAAAGGAAGAGATGACAGAATTTTAAAAATATAACTACAGCAGTTGCAGATACAAGATTTAAAATTACATTTTTCAATACTCTGTATAAAGTTTGAGCTCATTCCAACTTCAATTTTTCAAGTTATGGCCATTTAAAAAATGGCCAATTTCTAAAAGTTACCCTTTACTATTATAGCCCATGCTTTTTTCTTTTAAAATGGCTCCAAAATTACCCCAAATTTTAATTATTTTTTTTGTTTATATTAATGCCTTCATGCTGTGTAAAAAGTTTGAGCTATTCTAACTTCAGTTTTTAAGTTATAGCCAATTTAAGAAAATGCGAAAAATTTGCAAAATACCCAAGACAATATAGCCTTGGGGTTTACCCCAAATTTTTATTACATTTTCTGATACAATTGATTTGATGTCCTAATTCTGTGTAGTTTGAGCTCATTTTGACTTTAATTTTTGAAGTTATGATCATTTTTTTAAAATAGCCAATTTCTCAAAATTACCCTGTACTATAAAGCCTATGCTTTAATAGAATTAGTGTTCAATAGTTATTATTACTATTATTGTACAATAATAAAGCAATTAGGTATACTCATGACGACCTAAATGAGGCCTTTAAGCTTTCTGTATAGCACAAGTAGATCTACATTAATATGCATTTTTTTAAATGCAATAAAAATTTGGGGGTGATTTTGGAGAATATTAGGTTCTAATGATGGAACTGTTTGTGAGAGAGACAAGGAGAAAAAGAAAATGTTAGGTATAAGAGTTTTAGTGAAAGAGAATTTATACATATACAATTAAAAAGTAGCCCAGCATGCTTATGTCGGCTGGTTTCAAATAACTCAACAAGAATCTTCACCTCCAGCAGTATGTACATGTGTGCTAAAGCAAGACCATTAGAAAGACCGTAAGGTACACACTGAATTAAGGAAGGGACCTTTTAAGCTGTAATAATATTGTAGCTCATATTATACTGCTGCTCTATAGTAATACTGAATCAATAGGAAGAAAAGAAATTGATAACTTGATAAGCCTTCACCTTCATCTCCAGGTAAATTTCTGACACAACATCAAACTATCCTCCTAAAAGGGGAAATCTTGATTGCTTTAGGTACAAAGTGCATGCACTGTACAATATTTGGATATACATGTAGCTCCTTTATCATGTAACAGTAATAACAACATTACTTAAATACATCTTCCTTTGCATGTTGCCTGTGTGCAGGCTTTTTGACTATACCCACAAAAATGCAATAATGGACCTTGGCTAACTGGTTAATACCGGTTTGAATGTAATCATGTGAGCTATCTTTCTATCCCAGTTGTGTACAGATAGTGTACTATAATATCAGTGTGATGAATGATGTGGCATGAGTGGTTATTGTATCCAAAATACCACGTCATGCTATGCCATGTCATGCTCACCAAGTTATTATGATATTCAGTGATTCCTGTAATGTTATAACTATTTTCACAAGGTGCACACCAATATGTACAAATTCACTGTACACATAGCTGGTGCTAGTTGATCTGACCTGCTGCTATACTGACCTGCTGCTATACTGATTTGTTCATTTGTCAAATCAACATTCCTGGTGGTGTAAGTGATCCTTATTCTTGTATCATCAGTTATCAATTCCATTCTATCTTGATTTCTTATGTGAAGTGTACAACTTGTATCTTATACATGTACTTACTGGCTCTAAAGCATTAACCCACCCCTGTTTGACAAAATTTAGACATGACCACTTTAACTTCTGGATAATTCATTTTTATAGAATCATAAGTGATTCACTTTGGAGAACTTTTTACAAAACAGAGTGAACTGAGCTGGCTGTGAGAATTATTTAGTACACAATACAATGGAGTTAAACGACGCAGCTCAGCCTCATTTTGAATCAAGGGATGATGGAAAAAATGAACAAAGTAAGAGAAGATTATAGTTATGATTAGCCCATGCATATGAGCCCAACAGTTGGGCTCATATGCGAATCAACATACACTAGGCAACATCATTAATTAATGATTTTATCAGTGACAAAATCAACTTGCAACATGTAGCTAACCACAGATGTTGCTACAAAATTTGATAAACTTTTATTTTGCTGTTTACTGTTCATCATAAAATGAATTCCACAAACCATTATAACTTTTGAATGCATTATTAAGAGAAGCTATAAGAAATGTATAGCTGGCACCAATTGTTTTCTCTGTTTTGCAACAGTTAAGAGACCAATGTACTTGGAGCTAGGCTTGCTTTGGGCACTAAAATTCTCCAGTGAGACCAACTCATACACTTGCTTCATGAATATTATCATTATTGACCAATGAATATCATAATGATATTACAATTGTATCTGGCATATTATAATATCTATGCATATATACACAGTACCAGGAGTCCATAATGTGTGCTCTCAGCACATTATGGACTTCTGATAGTATAATTAGTGCTCATGATAATCAGCCTTAGTAATGAATGACTCTTTCACAGTGCCAGTGTACGTACCATGTTGGACAGATACAACCATGTTAATTAATTTTGTATTCCTTTTTAGGTAATTGGTTTAAATGGAAAAACTATGGAATTTTTGGACTAATATTTATATTAGCCTGGTTCTCACTTAGTAAGTAGCTAGCAAGTACTGTTGTTATCATGTAATTTACATGTACATAGCACCTGAAATTTTTAAGATTTGTATATTTTTGGTGACAATATTTCTTTCATCTGAATATTTTGTCATCTGGCCATTAGGTAAGTACAAAATATTAACAGCTATTATCCTGTTACTGAATAATTATGCATACAGCTCTAAGAATGGCTGCTTTTGGATCTATTGTTGTGGCTTTCATTGTTTTTGATATTGCATCAATCATTGCTCTGAAAAATGGTGACTACTCTGCTGTACTTGGTTTTTTATGCAGTGTCATTTGTTTTTGCTTTTGCATGTATTATAAAAAAATATTTGAAAGCATAATTCAATAGCCATAACAGAGCATAAAGCAGTATTTTATCTTTTTTTATTTTTGCCGAAAGTTATTATATCTTTTGGTGACTACTTGTTGTTCAGCTTTTATAAATAGCAGTTACAGCATTATTATTACATTTTCTATAAGTCTTATTGATAATATTATATTGCTGCAATTGTTTGCTGTTGTAAATAACTATTATTATTACACATTGCTGTTATTGTTATCATACAGTTGCTGCTGCTATTGTGACTTTTGTTAACTATTATTCTGTTTTAACATTTCTTTCTTCGCTTATTGCTGTTCTTTACTAGTCTTATTCTTATTTCAAAAAATTAATTCCTTGTTGATGTTAACCAATAGTTTTAAAGTGGGCATCCACTATACAACTTTGTTGCTAGTACCTTTGATGTGGTTGGGC